ACTTAGGTAGGATAGTAGATCGATTCCGCTTCCACCAAGGCTGGGTCATGGCTAGCCCTGGTGCCTGTCACTACTGTTCGGTCCAAGTCCCCCTCCCCCTGGATACCAAGTAGGGGTAATGGTCCTGAGTGCTGGTCACACTTAGCTAGGATAGTAGAGATAGCGGGTGCGTGACGATGGGATGGGAAGGTAGCCTCGTTCCCTCAGGACGACCATGGCTGACCGTTCCTGGCGATCAATGTGTGCCTAGTAACCGGCCTCTACAACACCCTGGGCTTTTTTAAAAAAGGAAAAAAAAAAGAAAAAAGGGGGAAACGATTCTGACAATATATGGCTGGGGGGTAATGGTTGTTTAAACCACCAGTACATCCCGCTACCGGCCGCGGGCCCTTTTCGGAGGCCACTTGCCGCCGATTCAATTTATCTACGGCGCTGGGCCTCCCAATTTTTTGTAGGCGACGAGTTTTCTTTTCAGCAAGGCCGGGGCCGGCCGTGTACTGGCGGTTTAAAGTCGCTGAGCAGCGGACTGTCGAGCCATTTCAGACCTAAATCTAAATTGGAACCAAAGAATCCCTCGATCGTCTCCCCTGGCCTTGTTGAAAATCTGCAAGATGCAAAAACTCATAGCAGATCAACCATGCGTGAGCCGAATTGAAAGCAGAATTACAAAAGTGGAGACAAGTTTTATTTTCAGCAAGGCTGGGGCCTTTCCGAAATTTTCATAGGCGATGAGTTTTCAGATGATGGCCACGTGGTCATCATGGTCATCGTACGCAAAGAACTAACCGATCAGAACTGAAAATCTGCAAGATGCAGAGAAATCATAGCAGATCAGATCAACCGTAGCAAATCAGATCAACCATGTGTGAGCCGAATTGAAAGCAGAATTACAAAAGTGGAGAGCGCGTGACAAACTGTTTTCCGAAGACGCGCGATTCTCTGCGCGACGATACTTTGGGGGTTGATTGAGAGGGGCCCGCCCAATTACATGAATGCCCTCGTCTTTTAGAAAAAGGGCGGTCCCACGACGGTTGGTAGTTGATTGGGCCTTAACGGGCGCGGAAAATAATTGGTGCCATAGCTTCTTTCTTGTTCTGCTGTGAGGAATGAGGAATTTTGGTGCGATCATCGCGTGGGGGAATCTTTTTTGAATCTTTTTGAATTTTCAACTGAAGTCGAGCCCATGCGGGTTCTCGGAATTTCTTTTTGCAATTAAGACTTAAATTAGGCTAGGAATTTGGGTGCATCGTAATTTTGCCTGCAGCTGCACGATGCTTCTTGCTTGCCGCGTCAGGGTCTGTCCTCTGGCTTCTCCGCGCCTTAATCTCACTTATAACTGTAATTCTCTTCTTGGCAAAGCGCGAATGTAACTGTAATCCCCTCCTTTTTGATATCTTTGCCGCACCCATATTTTCCTGTAATCTTATTGGCGTGAACGATGGATGATTGGATCGATGCGTGGAGAGTGGCTATGTCCCCCACGCCGTGGCCCGGCCATGCAGTCGTAGGCACTTCCTTCCTTCTCCTTCCCTCCCACTCAGGCACAATTCCGGCTATTCCTCGTGGGCGCTCATGCTATAAATTTTGCAAGCACAATTAACTCTCTCTGTAATCAACTTTGGAGTTAGCGCGGTCGAGAGGATCGGCTAACAGGAAGGAGCGAGACAGTGAGTAGGGAGTTGGGCGATCTGACGAGCTGGTGCTGGGTATGTGGGGTTGACGTGTGGCCGCGAAGGACTGTGGCACACGGGCGAACTCGGCTTGCATGTTCAGACTAAGCGGGGCGACAACTCTGTAAGTAGTAGGTGCGAGGCGACGGACTGCACGCATCGGGGTGGCAAGATATATATATATATATATATATATATATATATATATATATATATAGATAGAGAGAGAGAGAGAGAGAGAGAGAGAGAGAGAGAGAGAGAGAGAGAGNATATATATATATATATATATATATATAGATAGAGAGAGAGAGAGAGAGAGAGAGAGAGAGAGAGAGAGAGAGAGAGAGAGAGAGAGAGAGAGAGAACGGGAGGGGTTGAAATGGTGCTTTGTCTTCGACTTTTCTGCGCAATTTTGGTGCCTGGCGCAAGTCATCTTTTGTTCATGATTGTCTCGGGTCTTTCCTTTTTTTTCTTTTTCCTTTGTAAATTGATGGATGATTAAGCATGTCCTCTCCCTGCCCCTTCCTTCTTCTACTTGGTTGCCAACCTGATGGATTAATTGCCCGCACTCGATCCGTGTATGTCACTCGCCCCCTACTGACCGCAACCCCAGTGTTCCAAGTGTCTGCGAGACCACGCCTACCGAGGATTGGGATTCGTCCGGCGAACCTGCTAGGAAGCCGAACAACGGGAGCACAGCCTTCGGCTGAGGCTGGCTGCGTCCAATTCCGAAATCTGCGAAACCCGCCAACGATGGGTGCTACACCAACAGGACAGCCATAGCGTCCCTACGGTACACCGAATACGAATCCGCCCCAGATGACGGGACCAACGAAGGTGACCGCCCCGTTCCCCGAGGCCTAAAACAGAATCTCGCCCTTCGCCCACCCACTTGCGTTCCTATCCCCGAAACTTGACACAGGAGATCTCAGTTCCGACCTGGGACTCCACCCCCCCATCTTCCTAAAATCCTTGGCACACCCCTTTTTGTACACTTCCAGGCCCGTCATCACTCCGATCAGGAAGTGGCGCTGGGCGTGAGGCTGGGAATCACATAGCGCACCCAGAAAAAAGAAAAAAAAAAGAAAAAAAAAAGAAAAACAAAAACAAAAAGAGAAAAAGAACCCTATGTACTCTAGTCTCCTACTCTTCCTACTCACACTAGGGCCGTGGTCCCACTAGCGAAGGGGATAGGATAGAAATCCTGAATCTGGCTATGTTTTATGGAGAGATACAGAAAATCAGTTCTATCTCGATTTCCTGCTCCTGTCCTCAAACACGTCGAGATTCAGGCATTCAATCCGATGCTCTTTGCTAATGGGACCACGGCCTAGGTTACTCTCTCTCTCTCACAAACCTGCCTATACTTTTATCGACCACCCGCGTGGGGGTTCCAGTTAACCACTTGTGTGCCACCCTTCGCCAGATGTTGCTGAAGGCTCTGATCGCTTGAGTGCTCCCGACCATCTCCATGTATGCCGCGTCTCCCTGATTTCACCTGATCCAGTGCCACACCTTCGTCGTGCACAGCGCTGCCGACTGTGGTAGCTGCTGGCCAAGAGCAGTACGCGGCTTGCTCTCCTTTCTCCTCCTGCCGCACACTGGCTGCAATGGACTTGCGAAGACCTCCCGCTACCCCGCCAGCGGCCAAATGTGTCCTCCCCTGGTAGCCTCCCTGTTTTTGTGTCTCTTCTAGAGGCTGCTGTTTGGCTCCCAGTAGTTAGGGCCCCTACTTTCTGACAGTTAAGGTTTATAGGTCCCAGGGCCATGTTACTCCTTGGTAACGGCAGGCTGGGGCTAGGAGGTAATTACCTGGCCTGGCCCCGCACCCATTAGGCCCGGCCGCATTTTCTTTGTCTTGCTCTTCATTGAAATTGTATTTCAATGGTCCTTTGGGACATCCGTCGACATTCATTGAAATTGCACAATCACGTTGAAGACCAGATAGACAGTTGTATCCCGAGCAGAAAGCACAATGCGCTGAGATACAAGCCAAATAAGAGCAACCCCATGAGAACTCAAATATGTCAATCTTGACCCCCTCTCTACTGTCTTCGCCCGAATAGAACACCCGGTCATTATAGCTGTATCTGGACTGGAAATTGTACCAGATAGGGCTATAATGAACGGGCGCTCTATTCGGGTGAAGACGGTAGCCACCATCAACAAAGAATCCAATGTCTCCCCTCTTGATTGGCGCTCAGCGTCCAGCCTATCTCTACTCAGAGCCTACACGAAGCCTACACTATGAGATGCAACCGGGAATCGCTTCGAACCGAAGATGAATGTGTGTGACCAAGTCGCCCATCCAGGTACCTGTTTCTCTACTGTCTCACTCTCTCTCTTTCGCCACCTTCTCTCACCTACATTTTGTGCCTCCTACCCGGAGACCAGCATCTCTGCGAGCAGGCCGGACTATGGCCGCTCGCAACTGCTGCGTCGGCAGCGCCCTTCACCACTCTGCGCCCGTGTGCACCTTGGCATCGACCTCTGAGGCAGCCAGCTCGCACTGTCATGTAGCAACGTGGCCGCGAGGTGTGCGAAGCCAGAATGTCCTGCCCTGGGTGAGGCATTTTTCTAAATGGAAAGTGCAGCCATGCTCACGAGCAGCATGGGCCTGGAGGCCGCGTGCCCAGTAGCCTTGCTTCGGGCCAAAGTGTCTGTGTGCCCGAGCCGTATGCAGACAGCAGCCTGGGCCCACTGCAGTTAAGCAACCCAACTGTGCGATGTGGCCAGCGTCACTTGCTGCATTCTGATTGGCCGAGAGGCCAGAGGCCACTTCACTGCCTGGACGGGCCTACCATGCCGTCGTCACACTCGCATGGGCCTCGTAACGAACTGGCACAAGGTGACTGTCTGGCGCCCCACATGCAGAGATGACAAAAATAAGGCCTCAAGTTTCAATGAAGGTCCGCCTTCACTTAGGGGGGGCACGAGGCTTGGTGTGGGGGCCCCAACAGTGTCGGGCAAAGGGGCCTTGGGAGGGCTCCTTCCTTGCATAAATAAATAAATAAATAAATAAATAAATAAATAAATAAATGAAATAAGTACATAAATCAATGAATTGACGAATGAACGAGTAAATGAATAAATATAAATAAATAAAATGAATGAATGAATAATAAATATATAAGTAGATAAACAAATAATATATAGATGCCAGTAACCTAGGCTATGAGAGTGGCCCAGGGCAACTTGCCCGGCCGGTCCCAATATATATATATTTGTGACGATATATATACCGGGCAGCTCTGTTTGACTGACAGACCTTTCTTTGTTTCGTGGATGTTTTGCTGGCTTGTGATGGGGTGTGAACCGACAGTCTGTAGAGTTTTCCATCTGGTGTGGGTGAGTGATAGTCTACTTTGATTTTGGTTAAGGTAGATTAT